GTGGATGTTCATCCCTTTCTGAAATCAGTTCCTTCAGCGCTGGGTTGGCACCCAAATCTCTAGTCACTGCTTAAAATCTTGGTTCTTCAGTGCCTACATCACTTTTGAGAATGTAACATAGGCCTGGTCCCCACTAAGTCCCCAAATCGGACTAAGGTACGCAAATTCAGCTACGTTAATAACGTAGCTGAATTCGAAGTACCTTAGCCCGAACTTACCGCGGTCCAGACGCGGCAGGAAGTCTCCCCCCGTCGATGCCGCGTACTCCTCTCGGCGAGCTGGAGTACCGGCGCCGACTGTGAGCACTTCCGGGATCGATCCGGGATCGATTTATCGCGTCTTAACCAGACGCGATAAATCGATCCCAGAACATCGATGGCGTGCCGCCGGACCAGCCGGTAAGTGAAGACTAGGCCTAAGTCAACCGCTGAGTGAGAGGGGTTAGGAAGATAGTTTGGGTAGTGGCAGGTTATTCCATCACTGGCCACTAGGGGGTCTCTTGCAAAATCATCTGAACCAGCTGGTACTGGCCACTGTCCCAGACAGGATCCCAGGCTCGGGGGCCCTGCTTCTGAAAGTCACCTATAAACTAATGTTATAGTAACAAAAATATGAAAACAAAGTTTTAACAAGGTTTCAAACAGGAATTTGGACGGGCATCCAGATCTCTGAGGCAGCTTCGAAAACCTCAGCCTCATTTTGTGAAAGGCTGGAAATTCATAACTCCATTCCCTGCACCAGCCTTCTCGCAGCCACCGTGAGTAGAACTGACCAGTGGGTGAGAAATACCTTGTCAGACAGGATAGTGCCCTGCTAACAAGTATAGGCTATAGATTGTGTTTCTTATACCTGTATCTTTGTTTCCAAATCTACACTTGCTTTTATTTGAGTCTCTGACTGAGGCTATATTAATTAAACTTCAGTTTGGTTTTACTGTAGACATGTCTAAGTGCCTGGTGCAAAGGAGTGTGTTGAACGAAGGTGAAGCCAGTAAGCAGGGGTGCGCTGCTTCCACTGAGATCGGCGTGCATTGCTGGTGTCCAGGAGGAGACAGGGGACTAGGTAAGCGAGTGTAACAAACCTGGGGTGTGAATTGCTAGCCTGCAGAAAGACAAAGCAGGGTTCATGGAGCCTGGAGCACAACGCCTCGTACTGTCTGTAGCCAGTAGCTTTGGGAGAGTTTCCCCCGGTGAGCACAGACAAGGCTCTCACACTGTGAGCAGGTTGCAGCGATTTACTCTGGAGAACTCGTGTAACTCCAAAGGCATCTCAGAGCTCCCTGTACAATGAATGGGGAAAAGCAGGCACCTTAGAATGGGATCCACAGAACCCAGTGTGTTAGGAGCCATGTAAGCCAGCCAATGGGAGAGGCCGACAAGAGGGGTTTGTGCTAAGCCCCGCCCCTCTCCTGACGTTGATGCCTTTCTCTGCTAGTGATCCACAGCCAGGAGCCCCTCTTCTGGAGCCAGGCAGTGTGTCTGTGAGACAGGGGAAGGCACTGGCCATGCTCCACACAAGATGGCCGAAGGGCAGAGGGGTGTTATAGAGTGATTCTGAGTTAATATTTAATTAAAGTGTAACAACTTGAACAAAAGAGACAGGGAGCCTCACATCAGAATGTCCCATAGCCCAGTGGTTAGAGCATTCTCCTGCGAGGTAGAAGATCCTTGTTAAATGCCTTCTCCTCATCTGGCAGAGAGCGGGGACATGAACCAGAGTCTCCCCCATCCCAGGTGGGTACCCTAACCCCTGGGCTAAATGTTACAAAGGAGGCTCCCTGCCTCTCTATCTCTCACCTCATTCTGTGTGCTGTTGGGTGGCCTCTGAGCCCATCTACTGGATCAGGCCCCACGAGTGAGATAGATGCTCCTCCCCTCAATTTGTGTCTCCAGGGATACAGATGGAAGATAGGTGCCCAGAGGTCTACAGCAAGGCAGCCATGTGCTCCACGTGCCCAGAAGCAGAAACTTAGACATTGAGAGAACTTTTACACCAGAGATTTATGCCCTGGGTGAGTTTAGGCACTTACAGGGGTAGGTTTCAGCCAAGTTGTGAATCACGGTGCCTAAAACTGGGATTGAGAGGCCGATGCCTGGGCTTTAGGTGACTGTTTCTTCATAGATTCGGGCCATAATGCACAATCCAATTCCCAGATAAAAACTACATTAATGTGGAGCTAAGGCTGAGAGAACATACTTGTAACTTAAGGGTAAAACACATTATAGGAGGAATGTTGTAATTATTCCCAAACCAAGTGTTATACACCCAGGAAATACAAATTATGGTTAAATTATAAAAGAAATCTATGGTTTAGAAATGCAGCTAAGGTATCTAAACAACCTTAACTCTACCCTGGAGTAACATCTTGAGAGCAAAATTGAAAAACATTGTGTGCCTTTAAAAATCAGTTTCATTTAATGTAGAACCACACACACACTGCTCTGCATTGACCAGACCTGTATGATTATTGTGCGGAGTCACTGCAGGGTGGAGCTGAGGTTATGGGTGGATCACTGAGCGTGAAATCCTGCCCCCTCCCATATTACATGGGCATGGAAGGGTCAGAACACAGGGGGTTCCCTGGTGAGGGATCCTGTCAAACACTGGACAAGTTCATCTACATTGCAAAAAACCTTGTGGCAGTGGGTCTGAGCCTGGGGCAACTGACGTGGGCTTGCAGAGCTCACTCTACAGGGCTGAAAATAGCAGTGCAGACGTTCCTGCTTGGGCTGGCACCTGGGCTCTGAAGTCCCACCACGGGGAGGGTCTCAGAGCCTGGGCTCCAGCCTGAGTGGGAATGGTTACACTGCTAGATTTAGCCTTGTAGCACAAGCCCCAGTCAGTTGACCCAGGCTCTGAGACTTGCAGGCATGGATGGTTTTTTGCACTATAGACGTACCTACAATCTGACTCACCGAGCTGGGCTGGTGTATTCAGGGCCCTGGGCTCAAGATGCCATTTCTGTAATTTCCATGGGGTTTATTAGGACAAATGGGCCCTTCACCCTTCAGAGCCTCTTTGTGTCAGTGTGAGCAGCCCTGAGCTCCCTGCTTGGGCTTTGATGTCAAGATGGAGATGTTCCCCATCACTCATTCAAACAGGCTGTAACTCCACCTGCTAAAATTGAATTCAAAGTGTTAAACTGTGACTCCACTGGCAGTAAATCTGGCTTTCAATTGAGTTAAGTTGGCTCGACTGAGCTGACTTGACTGATATGACATGAAATGTTCAACCCATCCCATTGGTCCCAGACACTGACCTTTCTGTCTCTTCATCTCAGATTTCAGGGTCTCTAGGGGGAGAAAAAGGCAAGAGGTGAGATTTCATCATCATGTTTATAACAGTAACACCACTATGTAACTGGTCCAGACACTAACCTTTCTCTCTCTCCATCTCAGATCGCAAAGTCTCTAGAGGGAGAAAAGAGGGAGAGGTGAGACTTCCCCCGTCGTGTTTATGGGGATAATGTTAATTTTGTAACTGGCCCACACACTGACCTTTCTCTCTCTCCCATTCAGACAGCAGGGTCTCTAGAGGGAGAAAAGGGCAAGAGATGATTAATCAATTCACAGATTCCCAGGCCAGCAGGGACCCTTGTGATCACCTAGTCTGACCCCTGTATAACACAAGCCCGTCGGCTTCCCCACAACAATTCCTAGAGAGGATTGTTTAGAAAAACATCCAATCTTGTTTTACAAACTGCCAGTGCTGGAGAATCCCCCACGACCCTTGGGATATTGTTCCAATCGTTAATTAATAATGGCGAGATTTCACCCTGTTGTGTTTATGGGGATAGCTCTACTGCCAGCTAATGTGATGGGCCCAGAAACTGACCTTTCTCGCTCTCCTTATCCAATCGCAGGGTCTCTAGAAGGAGAAAAGGGTGAGAGGTGAGATTTCACCATCGTGTTTATGGTGCGGTTCCTGATATTAACATAATTGTGCTGTAACTATGAAAGTGAGGCAGACAGACTGACAAACAGGACACACAGACAGCTCTGTCTCAACATCCCTGCACTGACCATCCCTCTCTTCCCTCCCCCACGGACCATCACTT